AATAATCTCAGAACAAAAGGCCTCGTTTTTATTAAATCCAGGAAATGGAGGAAATAAATTCAAATTCTGTTTTTTGCCCTTTTTTGATTTCTTAGCATCGATTTTTGTTCTGCATGTTTCAAGCCATTTTCTAATAGCCTCTATACTCTGCCTTTTGCCAATCATTCCAATTACAATTCTTTCCGGGCGGACTTGCTCAATATCAAAAGGAAAGTAATCGGCAATTCCTCCCCTGGGGCAGATATGTTGGTTTAGTCCAAAATGCATCGTGGGTTCTTCTATATATCGCAGTTTCATTGAAATGAATTTGAATTAAGTTCCTTATCCTCAAAAAGCTCAGCTTCGCGTTCATTTATTGCTGAATATTCTTTCATCGGAAGCCATTTGCTATCTATGATTGCTGGAGAAAATTCTAACGACTCAGCCGGCAAGATTTGTAGGTAAGGGTATTTTTCGACAAATAAAGGTGCTGTATTTGAAAGAAAATAGGCAAAAAATCTAAACTGGTAATAAACTGTATTATTGTTTTCTAATCTTTTCAAGCCAGACATATAATCTGGTTCGTACCTACTGGTCTCATGGCCACCAGGATTTGTAAAACTCCAAGTTGGATTGATACTCAAATACCAGTTATCCCCTAGTAGTTGAAAGGACGGTTTAAATGCCATACTCCGGAAGCAAATAATATGTGAATCAACACCTGACTTTTTCTTTGTCATTACTTCAAAAATGACTGTTTTCATTGATTCTTTTTTCCCTTTCCAGATGGTTTTTTTCTCTCTAGGAACATCTTCATCATTTCGAAAACGGAAAATCTTGCGATCATTGATCCACTCTAATGTTTTAGTGTATGCTAGGTGCCTGAGAGAATTTCGTAAGAGGCTTTTAAAAACTCTTAGATAGTCTTCATTTGTTTTGTAAAACTCAGACGAATGAAATTTTTCAATTGTCCCTGCATCAACATGTTTTGACAAAGGTTCCGAGGGATCCTGAAGATTTCGAAAAGTAATCAGTTTATTTTGAAAGATTATCCAGTCGACTAGGAAAATGCCGGCTTTTGTCAACGTGTAGTGAAAGGTACTGTGAGGAGTAGAATATTTAATCCTGGGTAAATACTGTTTCCGTCGGTCGGCATTTATTGATTTCAAATCTACTGATTGATCATTGAGTGGACTAGCCATGTAAAGATGATCTGAAAACTTTATCCTAGTTATGTTTAAAAATAACTGCTCCGGTGTACTGGATAAATATCCATCTTTGAATTTTTTGGTTCTTGCGTCTATTTGAGCTGCAGAAAATTCCTGTTGGAATATTCGTGAAATTGCATTTAAGCGATCAAGCTTGGCAATTCCGTCGATTCTCTTCAGCAGATCCGTAAAATCAATAATATGTAAACAATTAATGACATCAAATTGCCCAATTGCAATTTCCCTGAGTTTATTATGGTTGTATTTGGTCTCTTTTTCGGTCAATACATAAATGTATAATTGGTCAAATTCCAAATGTAATTTGTGGTCTATAAACTTTTGTAATGTGTCATTTACTTTGTCCTGACCTGAGCTGACTGTAGTTTGAAAAGAAATGCGGTTAGTTCTATCAATCAGGTCAACGGCCGGAAAGTTCTTACGCTCACTGTTTGCATTGATAAGATTCAATTCATAAACAGCATTTAAAATTGGGATCAATACGTTTTCCGCGTAAATAGAAATGTCGTACTTCTGGATAGCAACGAAGCCTTTTACTTCCTGGACAAAAAGTGACAGGCTTTTTACAATTTGTTCAATGGCATCCTTTCGTGCAATCATGTAATAAATTTAGGTTCTATTGTAATTTCCAAATCTAATCTTTTTCGGGTGTATAAACCTCCTGCGGATTACGCAGTATTTTCTGTAATTATCAAAAAAAGCTGAGTACCTTACTTTCATGTCGCAAACTTGATTCGAGGATACTATTAAAGCCGTCAAAGGCCCCTGTCACGTTCAATTAGCAATTGTCTTTGAAGTCTGTTGGGTATTCCGTATTGGGATTTATGGACCCGTATTTTAGTCTTTAACTTTAGTTCTTTGAGGTTATAGTTTTGCTAACAAACAATAGACAGAACCTGGGGGTGTGTTCGTCTTCCTTTTCCGAGTAAGTCTTTCCAAAAAACTGATTTGTTTTTTGTGCAATTTGATTTGGACGATTGAGCCACTAACTGATTATTTCAACTTAGATGGTTTTTATTGCTTCGAGTTTGCTATAATAGGATATGATTTGTATTTCATATATGTTCTAATTGAGGATTTTTTATGTAGCTTTTTATTTCTTTTTTTTGGTGGAAATATGTATTCCCGATAGCTCGTCGAAATTCTTTTCTGTCACTTCAATTTTATGGGTGTCTTGCACCAAGCTTCTGCCAGCAAATCATACGAATTTATATGTTTAATTTAAGTACAATTCCAAAGAAAGGTTCAAGAGGTTTACGCTGGAGAAAATCATTTTAAATGTCTGAAGCAATTTGGTGAGTTAAAGGCCGTAGTATTGGGAGTTCTTGGGTAAGTAGCTGATCGACTGGGGCATCGAATCAGCTAAACCTTGGGTGACAACCTTATTAAAAACTAACTCTCTTTTGTCAAGTTGATAAAAATGGCCTTTTTTACCGATGATCTTATTGTTATTTCAAAATAGAAGGGGTGGGAGGGTTTAACCCATTTGTCTTCGACATCGCTCCATTGTTTTGAGGAAACCTTTTTTGGAATTTCAATTTTTAAATATTTAGCGTCCCGTTCGATGGTTATCCGCAGGTGAGTATAATACAGATGGCTCTTATTTGTCTCCTTTCGCCATTATGCACAATGCTGATTTGCGGGATAGCGATACCCGGAATTACGAAAAGAAGGTCGAAAACCGTAGAACAAACCGTAAAACGATTATGGGGCTAAAATGAGAATCGAACCCGTTCAAAAACGACGAAATCCACGCCAATATTAATTTTCACGCGGGTTTAGCTCTTTTTAAGAATTGTTAGTTCTCGCCTCTTGTAGCCCCTAAGAGAATCGAACTCCTTTAGATTGCTAATCCTTGGAAGTCTATTCCTCTGGTCCCTTCAATCACCTCCCTTAATCCAACTTTATAATAATTCTGTGTCGTCTGCTCTTTCTCATGCCCCATCATTTTAGATAAGATAGGACGGTCGGCGCCAAATCGAATCCACATCTGCGCATTGGTATGCCTACCTGTAAGCTCCCCCGGAAGTTGGCCATTAGGAGTTAGAGAAAATTCTCTAACTTAAATGGCACAATTATGAAAAAAGTACGGTTTACGGAGACACAGATTATCTCCATTTTAAGACAGCAGGAAGCTGGTAAATTGGTCAAAGACCTGGCCCGCGAGCATGGTATCAGTGAGGCCACCTTTTACAATTGGAAGGCCAAATATGGCGGTATGGAAGCTAATGAAGTAAAGCGATTAAAAGACCTGGAAGAGGAAAATAGTCGCTTAAAACGTATTGTAGCTAACCTTACCCTGGAAAATGATGCTATAAAAAACGTGCTCGAAAAAAAGTTCGGCGGCCTGACGATAAACGGCAAGCGGTAAAGGAACTGATAGAAGAGAGACTCAGCATTCGTCAGGCCTGTAAACTGGTC